TTCAGCAGGCAGGTCAGAGCATTCATTCTATCTGCATATATGATTGCAAATCACACTGGATCAAGATAGAAAGGAGAGTTTCTGCGTTTGGCCATGTGGCTTGTTGTGCTTGAGATGCCCAAGCCACGGTGCATGCTATTATCTGTAACTGTGTATATTAAAGGATGTAACACTTCATCCTTGGTGCTACAGAGAGAATACAAGCTGTAGTTTCACCGAACTATACTACTATGCCCTGTTTTCCTTTGCTACATTTCAAGCATTTCTGCTTCTGATTTTCTTATTTTCTGATTTTCTTATTTTGGGGGTCATCTTGAACATTTAAAGGTTGGCTTACCGGCTGTCAAGACTCACTCTGGTAGTTAGGAGAGAAGGATCTGTCCCCAAAGATGTTAGAGCCATTCCCCAGACATAATTTGCAGTGCCTGGAGCATGATGTATAAACATAGGACACTGCACTATATGAAACACGGGAGGCTTAATTCTGAGAACGTGAGCTTTGGACTGCTGAATTAAACATGGCTGTGGTGCTGACTTCTTTTATTGAATCAACCCCTAAGGCAATCATATTTTCAATATACCACAGGGTCAATTTAAAGCCACTGAGGTATGGAAGTATCTTGTTTAAGGTATAATGTATGCTGTATATTGAACACAAGAGTATTAATACTGGGACTTAAATGGATTGCAATACATTATCCATGCAATGAGAAATCAGTCAGAAAATGATGTTATTACCAAATTACATTGCCGTTCCAAGGACAAATCTGGCAATGAATACTATACCAAAGCTTAGTAACTACTATGCTATTAACCCATAAAATGCTATATCTATGATAGTATTAACCCATAAAATGAAATGAGTCCATATTTCCCTGCCCATTTTTAAAGAATTTTACTACGCTGGGGGGAAGAAAAAACATAAGAGGAGCATAAATTAAGAGGTTCCTGAAATGGTACATTCAATTAGAAGTTGCTGTGTTCCAGAAGTATTTGAAGTATAAAGTTATCAGCATATGCTTATATTCAGAAATATATAATTTGAAATCAAACACTGGTATCTAAAATTCCTTTATAACTACTTCTTTGCTAAAACTGTGACTTCTCTGAGTGGTAACATGGCTGATCAACCAGTTTCCATTTGCAAAAAGGATTTACCTTGGCAGTGTACGTATGTCCATCAGAACCACAGACAGGGCTGCCATGCATTGCTGGACACGGCTTGCATTTGGCTATATTAGCTGGTCCAATCCAATGTTTCTGGGCCAGATTTCCTTTCTTTTGCCGAAGGCTGGAAAATAAAACACACCAATTGTTGGAACATGCCTGTGCAAGCTTGGCTTTTATTTCCTATATTAACATTTTGAAAATTAAATATAGTCTCTAACTATATATGCTTCTATCCCATAACAGGATCTATTCTAGGAGACACTGTACAATGCTTAGATAATTCTCTCTAAGTCTGTTGTATTGTACTGTATGAATAACACTTGGCAACTACATTTTTAAACGTCAAACAACTTTATTTATAGGTATCACACAATCCTCACAATATTCTTGGAAAGGAAGAAAATAAATCCTGTCATATCTATCTTATAAATTAGAGAAATGGAGGAACAGTGCCTGATAGTTAGTCCTGTCTTGTCTTGTTCCTAAAAGCAGGTGCTGGTTCAAGAGAAGATTTAGATGTTCTTCTGCACCTGGCTACACTTGCAAATCAGGCAAATGGACATCTAAATAGAAGCCATTCAGTCACAAAAGTGTTTACAAAAACAGCTAGGTTTCCAAAATCTCTTGTAGACAGGATAAATAACTCACACAAAGCCATCTATAGTCAGATGAGGCCAATGTGATTATATAAAGCTGAAGCTATTAGACACTTCTTAAATATGACTCTAATGACAGAATTAAGGTTGAGAGTATATGGCTAACAGGGTTGTGTGAAGCAGGCAATATTTGAGTTGGAGTCAGCCTGATTTGGGGGACAGAGATTTGTTTCGCTGATTCGGATCACTGTTCCAATTCGATTTGGCCGAATGTGAATCTGAAGATTCGATTCTGATTCAGAGAATCAGCGATTTGGCCATAGACACAGCTTTATATATTTTTTCTATGTACCTCGAGGTACCAGGCACAGTTCATGAAGGCTGAGATGGTGGGGCAGATGGAGCATCCCACGGGAATGTGGGGTGTCCCCCATGCATTTGCCGGCGGACCCAGACCACTTCTGGGTACACCGCTAAGCATGCGGGGAACCCTCCTGCAGCCCTTGGCTTGGCAATCAGCCATGGGGGGACCCCGGGTGCAACCCCAGACCCAGGAGGTATGAGTTACTAAGCCATGGGATGGGCAGATCTCCTATCGAGCGCATGGGGGATACCCCCATTTTCCCCGCGTGCTCCCACACGCCGCTTCATCTGCCCCACCATCTCAGTGTTCACGAGTTGTGCCTGGTACCTTGAGATACATAGAAAAAACATATAAAACTGTGTCTATAGCCGAATCATCAAATCTCTCTGAATCTCTCCAAATTGAATCAGAGGCTTTCAATTCAACTTGGAGAGATTAATGGGTCTCCTGATTTGATTAGGATTTGGAGATTCAGCTGCCAAATTGGGCTGAATCTCCTCTGAATCGAATCAGTGACCAAAGCTTCGCACAGCCCTACTGGCTAAGTACAGACAATCAAAAAGCCTAAGGTTGAATCGATTCAATCTTTGCAGGTTAGTCTAAGCTGTGTAGATTGAAACAATAACCAAGTGAACAGTCATCCACTGGAAATGCAGCCACATGTCTGCAATGGCCCAGGTCAGAAGCTGGCGGTTGCTAGAGCACACCTCGCTGCTCAGGTGGAGAAGACAGGTTGGGCCAAGGCTATCCTACCTGCCCTATGAGCGGGGTGTGCAAGGGAGGTGCAAGGCATCCTGGGATTCTAGGGGATTGTGAGTTAACTTGAATCTGGAGGGGATCTGGGACAGAAGTTCAGTAAACTGATTTAACCTAAATCAGTTAAGTCTGATACTACATCCATCCAGGTTTACCTTAAACTGGTTTTGGCCATTTTGAAAGTAGTTTATGTGCATTGAACTTCTGTTGTGTTACAGATTTGAACCAGTTTATGATCACATATACTGGTTTATGTGGAATTTCTGTCCCAAGCCTATTAGAACAATTGTAAGGCAAAACACTTAGAAAACATATACTTGTATCTTAAACTGGACTAAATCTCAGGGTCCTGGCTACATGTGATATTGTCAGGACATTTTCATTGGCTGAACATCCTACTTACATCTGATTTGTTTGACCCTTCATTATTCTGTTGGGTGTGGACTCCTCTGTGACATGAAGACAAGCTTCCTACTTCTTGTGTAGCTTGAATTCAGCTCTTAATAACAGCAGTCATTTTCCTAATTTGCCCTTGGCTTGCAGAACTTGATTATTAGAGAAGAGTGATATACTTTTGCAGCTACTTCTGCATGCTCATTTATCTCACGTGGGAATAATAAAAAAGATGCTTTACTTGAACATGTTGGTGACCAGCTGGTTATTTAGCCTTATTTTGCTCCTATAAAACACTACAGTGTTGCAACTTCTAGAGTAAGGCAAGTGCAGGGTGCCTCAAAACCCTAGCCCTCATTGCCTGGAGGTTGGAGAAAGTCTAAGAGCCATCAACCTGATAGAAACACGCCCTTGCTGAGGCACTAGGCAGTCAGCAGCAGTTATCTGTTGCTCTCTGGCGGAGGCTATAACCATTGAGGCACTGAATGCCTGAATTCAGTTTGGCCTTTTGATTTTGTCTCATGGTTTAAAGGAGGGGTGGTAGGTCTTGGCCAGCCTCCACTCCTCCATACTCTTGCCAAGGTGTGTGTGTCAAAGGTCTTGGTGACTAGACCTCTTACACATACACTATGATCCAGTGGATTGACAATTGCCTACTATACAAATCCATGGCTACTGTATAGATATAAGTACGAACTCAAAAGGAGACTTAGGAGTGCATGTAAAAGCAGGTGTGAAATTTGGGGTTCATATTATGAAAAAAAAATCCATCTACAGTACAGCAACTCAACTTATCACTGTCATCAAAGAACCCATATCCTGGGGACACTGTGAGCATTCCCAAGCCTGGTCACTGTTTCAAGAATTGTATTAAATCACTAAGGAACACAAAATTGTTGCTGTGCACTGTATGAAGTACTTATCAGAAGTATACAGTTGTAAGCCAATGAAATGCTTCCCTCATAAACAACAAACAAGGGTTGTTATCTATGAAGCAGATGTGGTTTGGCCACACATACTCATCTTTAACATGTCAAAACAGCTTAGGTAAGGGCAAGGGATCGGTTTCATTGCAGACATGAAGGAAAATAACCACCATCAGGCCACCTTGTTTCTGCACCATTATATAAAACACATCAAAGAGCAGTTGAGCTAGAAATGCATTTCAAGGCATCACTGAAAGACTTTATCACAGTTTTAGAAAAATATATATGGCTACATTTTTAAAGCAATTTCACTGTGGTTTGCAATTTGCTACACAATCCAGACCCTGATATAATGTCACACACAGCCCTTAAAATAATAAAAATTCTATTCTTTCATTCTGGCTCAAGTTTTCTTCTAAACTAACCTTTGTCACATTGATAAATAGTACTATTAGGAAGTTTGTGTCCACAGAAAGAACCTCGTCACAGTATCATAAACTACCAAAATGAAAGCCTACGGTCAAAGTCAGAATTCCCTTATTATCTTGAAGAAGTTCTCACAAACAACTTCAATCACTTTAAGACTGCATTCAAATATCCCCCATGTCTGCTGGAGTTACCATGACTAATTACTAGAGATGGGCTAGATCCTCCGAATGCACCCATAGGTTGTAGGCGGGTTTAGTTCTGAAGTCCCGGGTCCAAACCTGTCTGGACTCTAGTTCTGTGCTGCTGGGAAAACATGTGAAGAGTAGGAATGGAAGATAAACAGGTGGTACAATCTCCTCTCCTTTGAGCAGCTTTAGTGCTCCCTGCCTGCTTCTACTAGTCTCCAGTCTGAACTGGACAGAGTTAAGGCTGAGGAATGACTCATTCCCTACCAGCTATAGGCTCACTTAGCTTCTATCCGTCTTCTCCCTGGAGGCAATTAATTCATACATTGGATCAGATGCTCTTTCTTCACCCCCATGAATATGCACAGCTTGTCAGAAGTAAAACTGTGCTTACTTAGGAGTGACTCCCACTTGCGTTCTGTAGCTGGGATTAGCTTCTAATTCTCTTTCAGGTATAATATAAAACTCTACTGAATTCAGAGCTACCTACCTTAGCTATGTCCTCCTTTCTAGGATCTAGCTGCCAAGATGACTTGAGGTACCTGAGCCACCAACTTTCAGGTTGAAAGAGAATGCCAGATATTTTCCATAGCAGGTTCACATTTTTGAACCCCCAGAAATATCTGATGTCTTTGATTCATAAAAGTCCAAAATGTGTTGGATCTTTGGGACACACTTCAAAGCCCATTTAGTCTCCCTAATTCTTCCTGGACACACGTATGCACAGGGTATGCATACTGAATAGTTAGGAGTTAATGAGAATGAACCTTCTTATTTTGATTGAACTGTATGTCAGCAGACATGGTAAGTTGTGAACAGTCATGGGCGACTGGTACCTCCTGAGTCTGGGGGGGTGCACCCACAGAAGCCTGTGTCGGCATCAGGGATGGGGATGGCCAGCACCCACAGAAGCCACCGGCAGCATCAGTGATGGGGACAGGGCTGGTGAGCACCTGCGAACACCACTGGCTGTGGCGGCGGTGTGGGATGGCCCTATCAAGAGGGACACGTGCCCCCCCATGCTCCCCCTATCAGTCACCTATGTAAACAGTGGTCTGGATTTTTTCTGGATGTGGTGCTAGAGGCATGATGTTCTTCTTCAGTTAAATGTATGATTTAGACTGAAATTTTCAATGGGAACTGGTCATCCAGCTGCTGCTGAAAATCTCAGCTTTAAAATGTTAAAAAAGACACCATTCAATTCTTATTCAGGCAAATGAAGCCAATACAAGTTTTGACTAAGTTTTGGCTTACAAGCCAATACAAATTTTGCCTTCCAAGGTTCAAACTAGGTATGACTTAGCTTCTTTTATTTTATATCAGCAATTTCACCTTGGAATCTCCAAATTAAGAAAACGTTAAAGCTGCATGGAGAGTCTGTGGCAGTTTATAACTGAAATTATTGTGTACAGTTTCTTCACTTGTAATTTCACAGAAAACAGTGAAACTTAGTGGAAATGCAGGTTAATATT